TGGGTGGGGGAGAAATCCCCGTTTACCTCCCGGTGATCTCGCCTCAAAGGCAAATTCGCAATATGTAAGTCGCTGGTTAAACAAGGGCATTTCCAGTTGTTAATTGATGCAATTACGCCGTGGCGGTAACGGGCCGGTCGGGCTGCAGCAGCCAGCCATCCATCACCGCCCCGCTGACCTGCCACCGCCCCGGCCCCCCCGCTCCCGGAGGGACCATCACGGAGCTAAGGGAGAAGAAGGGATGTCCCGCTCAGCACTCCTTCGGGAAGTGGGCTTCGGCTTTCTGTCCTGGCGCCAGCCGTGCCCCTGCCCAGGCAGGCAGCGAGGTCTGCCCCCGCTCCCGTGGCCCCGGGCCGCCGCGACGGGCAGGGCAGCCAAGGCGGGGAGCTCGGCTCAGCGGCTCCCATGCAGAACCGGGGCCGTGTCGTACAGCAGCGCCCGGCCCTGGGGATGGGCGGGGGGCAGCGCGAAGGGCCAGGGGTGCTGCGCCGGCCGGGCCGGCCCCGAGAGCTCCTGCCCCGGCTGCGCCCGGGCCACCGTGACCCCTGCCCGGCTCTCCTCCTCCCCGCGGCAGGCCTGGGGCAGGGGCCACGCTGGGGCTGGTGGGTGCCTCGATGTCCCCACTTGATGTTTATTCCCCTAAGACAAATTTGGATTGCGTTTAAAAAAAGAGAGAAAGGGAAAAGAGACCAACCGCAAGGCACCCCCACTCCCGCCTTTGACGTGCATCACAGTACAACATTAAACCAACATGGAACAAGTGGTGAGAGCGGGCGCGGGGCGCTGCCTGCTCCTGCCCGCCGCTGCCTGCTGCTGCCGGCAGGGCCGTGACGTCACCCCGCTCCTCGCCCACCGATGAACGCTAAAGACCTATAGAGCAGAAAATAATACAACAAGCAAGCTCCGTATCTTGCAAGCCCTACGTGATTTTACCCCCCTCTTTGAAAAAGCCCCTTTGCACTTAAACTCTCTATACATGTGGGGTGGCTTTTTAAACTCCCTCTATACAAACATATCTATTAAGAGCGATGGGAAGTGGGGGGTAGCCTATTTTTTTAATCCAGGCACCAACCTCCCCCCCCCCCCCCCCCCCCCAGATTTCGGCCGCCTTTTCTTAAGTGCATACATCTATAATTGAAAAAAAAAAAAAAAGCCATACGTGGAAATGTGTGTGTGAGAAGGTGCATCTTGAAGCAGGGTTTAGTTACAATCGATCTTGGGGGGAAAATATTGCCTATGGTCCAAAAATAAGGAGCAACTATGTCCTTCTCTCAGTTCGGATACCCCTACAGCACCACTTCACAGGTAAGGCGAGTGAGCAGCACTCACTTTTGTTTAGATTCTGCTGCTGCTGTCCAGATGTCTTGTCCCCCCCTCCCTTTTTTTCTTCCCTTTCCCTTACTTAGAATATTTTTTTAAAAGGGCACATCTGGAGCCTTTTTTTAAAAAATGTGCGTGTGTGTTTATGTCTCGTTTGTGTTGTGTTAGGCTTAAAACAAATAACTCGCAGCGTGCACAGCAAAGGCGTGTAGGAAACCGGTAATTCCCCCTCCTCCCCACCCTCCACCGTTCAGTTTTAAGTGCAACAAACAAATAAAAAACATAAAGCCCGGCTACGGCCGCTTTCCGAGCCCGCGGAGCTGTCCCGCGGAGCGGCCGCGCTGCGCCGGGCGCTGCCCCCGCCGCGCCGCTGCCGCCCGGACACCGCGGAGGGTGTGCGGGCAGCGGGAACCGGCGCTCGGGGCTTCATTGGCTTTTCTGCGGAACCGGGCTGTGCCGTTTCCTCCCCCCTTCCTCCACGGGTCGGTCCTTTTCCTGTGTTTTATTAGGATCCGTAGAGAGATTTTTTTTTTTACCCCCCTCATGCGATTTCCCGAGGACACCCCCACTCACACCAAGGCACCCTGCAGTAACTAAGTCGTCGCTATAGCGCACCTCGAGTCACGATTTATTTGGGTAGAATTATTTATACACCGTAATCACTGCAAGATGTGTCTCTTTCGCTTGGGAAGTTAGCTGTCCCCTTGAAGTTATTGAAATCAAATGCCTTCGATTGCGTTAGCTGACATATTTACTGCCGTGTCTATTGTCAAATTAACTGTAATCGCAACTTTTTGCCTTTAAATCAATGCAGATGGACCGAGCGGGGGCGGGAAGGATGGAGCCGTACGGATCTCATGCCTTTTTCCAGAGCAATTATTTCCTTAAAGTTTTGCCTGCTTGATTAATCGTGCCCCCTTCCCAAGGGTTTCCTGCTTCCCATTCGGTTTATTTCCCGGTTTCTATAATTAGTTGCTTCACTCTGTGTTTCCTATCCCCCTCCTCCCCCCCCCCCCCCCTCCGCACACACACACAGGCACGCACACGCTCCTAAATTCCCCCCGATGGGGCTGCCTCGACAGTCACTCGGCGCCGTCCCGCTCTCTCCTCTCCGCAGTTTTTCGTGCCCGCCAGCCCCAGCACGACCTGCTGCGAGGCCGCCCCTCGCTCCGGGCCGGATGCCTCCTCGGCGCCGGCCGCCGCCTCCCTGTGCTGCGCCCCGTACGAGGGCCGGCTGCTGGCGCCCGGCCGCGCCGAGCTCAATGCGGCGCTGGGCATGTACGGAGCCCCGTACGCCGCCGGCCAGGGCTACGGCAACTACCTGCCCTACAGCACCGAGCCCGCCGCGCTCTACACCGCGCTGGTGAGTGCCCGCCCGCCCGGAGGGGAGAGGGGGGTGCAACAGGCGGGAAACTTCGTGTTTCGCAGCCGGTCTCGGGGCGGGGGGCCCGCCGAGGGACGCGGGAGCGGCGCCGGCCCGTGGCGGGTGAGGGGCGCGAAGGGACTGGGCTGCCGCGGGGACCTGGGGCTGCGGGGCGCCGTGCGGTTCCCCCTCCTGCTCGACGCCAAACGCGGCCGCTTTCCCTTGCAGAACCCCCAGTATGAAATCAAGGACGGCGCCGGCACGTTGCACTCGGGAATCGCACAGCCCGCTGCCTACTACTCCTACGATCATTCCTTGGGGCAGTACCAGTACGACAGGTAAAACCCCTTTGATCAGTGCCCGGCAGCATTAGCATCCCCCTGCGAGGCGGCGGCCGACATCAAACGGCGGGGGCCGGCGGGGGCTCCGACCTGACAAACGTTGTACAAAAGAAACGAGGCGCCCCGGGAGCAGCAGTCAGCTGAAATCAAACTTGGGAGGCGATGGCAGGAGGGCAGGGGCAGGCAGGCAGATGGGAAGGGGCCACACTGGCCTGTGCTGGGCCGGGCTGGGCCAGGAGGCTCATGTTGGGCTCCCGCCGGCCCCCCCCCCTCCATAATCATCTCCCAGCAGGTACGGGACGGTGGATTTCGGTGGTTCGGCCAGACGCAAGAATGCAACGCGAGAGACGACAAGTACTCTCAAGACCTGGCTGTACGAGCACCGCAAAAACCCCTACCCCACCAAAGGAGAGAAGATCATGCTGGCCATCATCACCAAAATGACCCTGACCCAAGTGTCCACTTGGTTTGCTAACGCCAGACGGAGGCTCAAGAAAGAAAACAAAATGACCTGGTCTCCCAAGAACAAAGCGGGGGAAGAAAGAAAAGAAGAAACCCCGCGGGAAGAGGATGAATACAGTGTAGAGGACGAAGGCAGAGGTAGGGGGAGAGGCAGGACGGGCGCCTCGAAGGAGCTCGAAGTGACGGCCAATTTCGAGGCCCCCCAACTTCCCCGCACCCGCACTAATGCCCTGCCGCCCCCCTTCTTCCCCGTGTGTGTCCAAGCAGAGCAGAAGAGCTACAAGGAGGACAAGGAGCTGCGGTTCAGCGACCTGGAGGAGGAGGAAGAGGAGGAGGAGGAGGCGGGGAAGCCGGAGAAGGGCCGGGCCAGCTCCCTGCAGGAAGCCCCCAGCCTGGGCGCGGCGCTGCCCGAGGCTCCTCGAAGCGACTGCAGCCTGCCCGGCCCCTTCCACGCCTTTCCCTGCGCCAAGGCCCCCGCCGCGGACTTCGCCCCTGCCTCCCTGGCCGGCCCGCCGCCGCCCTACGCGCCCGCGGAAAAGCCGCGCATCTGGTCGCTGGCGCGCACGGCCGGGGCCAGCGCGGCGCGCAGGGGCAGCCCCGAGGGCCGCGGCGCGGAGGGAGGCGGCGGCTCGGCGGCGGAGCAGCCCCTGCCCGCCAAGGCCTTCCGGAGCTCCGCGTTCAACCTGCAGCCGCTCCCGCGGAGCTGCGCGTCCCACCGCGGCCTGGGGGAGCCGTGCCAGTTCGCGGCGGCGGGCGAAGGTACCCGCGGCGGCGGGGCCGCGGAGACGGGCGGGACCGCGGGCCGGGCTGGGGCGCAGGGCACGGCGTGAGCCCGCCCGCGCAGTGACACTCCCGGCGCTCGGCCGCGCCCAGGTGTCAGATGCGGACGCCGAGGCTTCCCCGCTCGAGGCGAGAGGGCAGGGGAGGGCGGCGGGGCCGGGCCGGGCCCACCTCGAGCCGCTTGTATCTGTGCAGGCTTCGGGCGGGGCGCCAAGGGCGGCCCGGGAGGCGCCGAGCTGGGCGGGACCTGCCTGGACAGGCTGCGGACGGCGTTCCGGCCGGTGCTGCGGAGGTGAGGTAGGTGACGGGCCGGCAGCCGGGGCCCCACCTCGCACGAAGCGCAAGCCCACCCACTCGGCCCCGGGACACGGGAGCGGCCGGGGCCGCCGCGTTGCCCCGCTCCCGGAGCTCCCGTCCGGCCGGGGCTGCAACACCCGGCTCCGGACGCGGCCACTTCATCACCAGCTTATCACCGCTTCTCCGTCCCGCAGGGCCGCCCGCCCCTTCCTGGGCGCTGGCGACGGGGCTCCGGCTGCAGGGAGTCACTCGGCTTGAAGCAACGAAAGACGCCTCTCCCCTGGCCGGCAGTGGCCTCGCGGCTCCGCCTGCCCTGCCCTCGCCAGGGAAGGGCCGTCGCGGCACAACGTGCTGCGCACATGGGACCGAGGGGCACGGCGGGCGGGGCGGCGGGCGGAGCGGCCGCAGGACCGGCACTTCCCCGCCGCACGCTTGCCATGTGTTCAACACCCCGCTAACGTCTTGGCAAAAAGAAAAAAAAAAAGCAAACCCTAATCTTTGTTCTTTTCCTTCCCACTTCGTGGTTTGTTTCTCCTCTTTCTACCAAACCTGCGCGCTCCGCTCAGCGCCCAGCTTCGCCAAGGCGCGTCAGTCCGCGGTCGCTCCGCGCCATCCCGGGGCAGAGGAGGAGGAGGAGAAGCGGCGCAGGTTACGCCGGACTGTTTCTTTCCCGTCTCTGTACATAGATACAGCTGAAAAGTATTTTTCGGAGTCTCTAATTAACACGGATGAGCTGAACGCCGCGAAGCCGTCAGTGACCCCGGAGCTCTCCAGCCAGGAGCCGGCACAGCCCGGGCGGAGCGGCCACGGGCACCCGCCGCCCGCCCTGGGGCACGGCCGGGGCACCCCCGGGCAGCGGGTGGCGACCGGGCGGCGAAGTAGGACGTTGTTAGTGGGTCACCGCCGTCATTCAGTCAAAAGAGCAGTGCTGCACTTTACAGGACAGACGAGAAAGGGAAACCGTATCTCTGCATTATTTCTGTTTAATTAAAAGTGTCATCAAACACTTTGTGTTCAGACTAATAAACCAAGCAGGGATGAGGAAAGAATGTTTCTTTGTTCCTGTCTCTGGAAGCAGTGGCAATAATTTAAATTAATAACTGTGGTAATTAAGAGGTCATCTATAGATCAACCCGATACCTGCTATTTCCAAGTTCACCGGGGTCACCATTTACATTAAGTCATTTGTGGTCAATAGAGTCCAATGAATTCTGCCTTAATAAATCAGGGAAATCAATCTTGAATATCGAGTAGACTTCTATATGTTTACCAAAGGCTACTCAAGACAAGTGGGGCTGCAGAGCTGGGAGTCCTCTGGGTTTGCGACCGGAGAAGCAGTTCGTAGGGGGAGGGAGGAACTGTAGGTGAACGCAGGGGATAGGTGGCGGGGCTGTCCCCGGCTTTGGCCCTGGGAACAGCCCCAGTCCCTCCCGGGAGTGGAGCAATCCCGGCTGCGGGGACACCTGTCAAAGAAGGCAAACTGTCGGGTTTTGGAGGGGCCGGGGGGGAAGGGGAGGGGGAGGTAGGTGTACACGGCGGCAGCAGGTAACAGAGTGGCCGGGAGCGGGGCAGGGTCCGGCCGGGAGCGGGGCAGGGTCCTGCCGGGAGCGGGGTTGGGCCCGCCGGGAGCCCAGCCGGAGACGCTCGGCCACGGGGCTTTCCCGTACACCGGAGCAGCCCTGGGCAAGCGACGGCGCAGCAGCCGCAGTCTGTTGCGGTGACCCGGAGCTTAGAGAAGGGGAAATTAAGCTGCGAAAAGATAAACATTATTTCAAGTCGGCTTTGAAGGATTAGGGCTTGTAATAAAGAGTATTAGGCCCTTTCGAAGGGTTCTTGCAAGGCGACTTTCTCCGCCCCTCCCACCGGAGGGGACAGGTATTATCTGCCCTGGGAACACAGCGCAGGTTCCCCTCACGTGCCCGCAGTGGTCGGGCCCCCTTCTCGTCTCTGTCCCTGCCGCCCCCGCCCATCGTGCAGGGGAGCCACCTGGCTCCCTCCGGTTCCCTTTGCCCGGCGGCTTTGGAAGAGGCTCCCCAGGGAGTCAGCTCTGCATCGGCCTCCTGAGCTGCTCACGGGAGAAGAAACCTGCACGGCTCCCGCGACCTGGGGGCGGCCAGGAGCTCCCCCGAGCTGCAGACTCTGCCCCCCGGCCCTGGAATCCCCCAGTCCTAATGGCAAGATCCGACGGAGGTGTGAAGTCCTCAGGGGTGATTAATTAGGCGGGTGCAGTCTTCGGGGTCTTTTTAAGGCAGGCACGAAGGTAATCTCCAGGAGTCTTAAGACTTTTTTTTATTTATTACTTTTACTCCCCTTTCATTAAAGGTCAAGTGAGCGAGATGCAGATTATCCCGCCCGCCCAGGACTCCTCTGCAATCTGTCACGCCGGCAAGATATGTATCGCAAATCTCTCAAAATATAATCTCCGGGAATCATATTTCGAATACTGTTTTGATTAAAAACCAGAGTGGGGATTGATGGAGAACTAATACCGGGAGCGGAGCCTGCGTGCGCCCAGGCACAAAACTAAAATAACGGGCTCGCACGAACAAATTCAGCGCCTCCAATGCCGTAATAAACGTGTTTAAGCCGTCTCCGGCTGAGCTTTGCTACGAGCTGGGCTTTTTAGCGCGGCAGCTCTGGGAAGTGAACTGGGGTTGTCCGCCGCAGCGGGGGCAGTCGGGCTGTGCTGGGACACTCGGAGTGTGCTCCTGCGGGGCGGCTCGAGGAGATGGGGCCGGAGAGGAGCGCCCTCGGCCCGGCCCGCCTCAGCCCTCCCCGTCGAGGCACAAACCGGGCGCGCAAGGTGTAGACCCCGCGAAGCCGAGGGACCGCTGCAGCGCAGCGCGCACACCCCCCACCCCCGCAGGGCACCCCGCTTGGCTGCGGAGGGACGGGTGTCCCCCTTTCCCGCAGCCCGCCGGGACGCGCTGGCACCGGCCACAGCCCCGCATCGCCCCCCAATTAGCGGCCGCGGGGGCGGGCGGGGGCGGCTCGTTGACGCGTCCCCCGCTGGGGTGGGAAGTTTCTAAAACAAAGTCGCCGGGCTAATGGCCCCGGGCGGGAGCGGCGGGGCCGCGCACACTCCACTGCGCCCGCTCAAAGGCAGCGCGACCGCGGGGCCGCCGCCGCCTCCGCCGCGCTCGCTAATGAAGTTTTGTCAAAGACAATTACGGGCCCGGCGGGGGCAGGAGGCCGCGATGAAAAGGCGCCTTTGTGCGGCCGAGACGGCGCGGCTCCCCGGCCACCCCCGGCCCTTCCTGCGCCCCCGCGGTGACCCCCGCGCCCGGCCCCGCTCCCCGCGGGGGCAGCGGCCCCGGTGCCCGGCCCCCAGGTAAGCGCAGCGACGGGCTGGTGCCGGCAACGAGCCTCCCGCAGCGGGAGTTTATCGGCCCGATCCGCGGACGAGGGAAGCAAGCCCCGAAAATTGGGGGCTGAGCCTCTGCCCGCCTCTCACACCCCTGGCTGAGGGTTTCTACTGTCTCTTCCCACCCCAGACGGGCTGCTGCGACGGATTCCTTCTTCAACGCTGTTGCATTCAGTAAATGGGAGAGTTCATCCAAAAACTGACCATCGAGCTGGCTAAATCTGTTTAAATTTACACCAGAAAAACATGAAATTTGGTTCTTGGACTGTGGCTGCCTTCGGCTGCATCTGGGTGGAGAGGTTGTGTGAAAGAACAGGTCAATAACCATCTTTCACCACCTTCCCCAAGATCCCAGCACTGCTGTTGCCCTCCATCTGTGGTCCTTGGTCACCTCCTCCCAGCATCTCACCTCCCTGCCATCCCCAGCCAACGTGGGCAGCACAAAACATGCTGGTGCTCTCCTGGCGAGCATAGGGAACCATCCGTGAGTCATGAGAAGGTCTGGACAGCGCAAGTAACCAGCCAGATTGGTGCTTCCCAGCCTTTTTAAGAACAATCTTCCTTTTAGGAACATAGGAGAGATGAAACTTTCCTTTATTCCTGCACAAGCACATGAGGACAGTGGCCCTGACACTGAAATGGTCTGGGCCCTCTCACTTCCAGCTGGCTGGTATTTGTCCGTGCCCTCAAAAAATGTCCTGACCCCCATCCCACAACAAAGGGATGAATTTTACTGGCTTTGCAGCAGCAAAACCCTTGGAGATCCCTCCTCAAAGGTGTCTACAGCAGAAGTTTTAGCATGATGTGGCCATCAGGGTTATGGAGCAATGGATTAGAGCAATTAGTTCAGAATGATCTCAAAAGCTGCACAAGCAGCTCCCCAGGCCAGGTGTCATTTCAGGATCAAAGCATCTGTTAGAGGAAAATCATTTTTGCCATTGTATTGCCTTTTTTTTTTTTTTTACCTACTGTTCATCTGAAAATAAATTACAGGCCAGAACAGGTGGATAACATTCTGGAATGATTTAATGATTTATTTAATCTGGATTCTCTTTCAATCTACTTAGAAGGATGAATACTTTTTTTTTAGCCTGAATCCAAAAGCCTGGCTTTTCATCTAAAGAAGAGAAAATACCCTAAAACACTGCTCTGCTGCTGTCAAGGTGTACTCCCCACCACTGTTAATAATCCAGTGGTAATGTCTGCCCTCCAAAGAGCCTGAGGGGAAAACCTCAAGAAAACTGAGCAGAAGATTTTGGTTTTTTTTGCTTTCTTGCCCTCTTCCTAGATATTACTTCACTTCCTGGGACAGTGTCTGGGTAATAAAATAACTGATTGTAGTGTTCAATCACCACCCCTTAAATCTTGGTGCGTGCAGGTTTAAGAACT